TTTGCGGTATACCATCTTTTCCGCAAGTTTATTGTTTTCTGTGTGGTATTAAATTAATAGTTAAGATCCATTTTGTTACATCTTTGTGATCCGTTTATTTGGCAATCGCCAATGGCAGTCAGCAGGGTTTAAGAACATCCGTTGTTCGACCTGCTAGTCAAATTCGTTTTGTTTAAATATACTTTTTCACTTTTTTGGTCTTTTGGAAAATGTTGTTTGTGCTGTATTTAGACCCCTCTATCAAGAAATTTGTTTTGCATGCACACGTATAAAAATTGCGGTTTTTATCCAACGCAATCATAGGTTTGAACGTTGTTTTCAATTTAGACTTGTTTATAGTTTTTCGTTTGGGCTTGTATTGTATTTGCCTTCGGGTTTATATGATCCGTTCATCCTATTTCGACTCTTCAAAATTCAAGAGTCTATCCTAAATTGAGGTAAATTTTATGGCCTTCCAAATACCGTTTCGATTCCTAACATCACTGAAGAGACATTAATTGTTGAAATCTTGATATGGTGTACTAATTTTTGCACCTTTTGTTTGCGGTATACCATCTATTCCGCAAGTTTATTGTTTTCTGTTTGGTATTAAATAAATAGATAAGATCCATTTTGTTACAACTTTGTGATCCGTTTATTTGGCAATCGCCAATGGCAGTCAGCAGGGTTTAAGAACATCCGTTGTTCGACCTGCTAGTCAAATGCGTTTTGTTAAAATATACTTTTTCACTTTTTTGGTCTTTTTGGGAGATGTTGTGTGTGCTGTATTTAGACCCCTCTACCAAGAAATGTGTTTTGCATGCACACGTATAAAAATTGCGGTTTTTATCCAACGCAATCATAGGTTTGAACGTTGTTTTCAATTTAGACTGGTTTATATTTTTTCGTTTGGGCTTGTATTATATTTGCCTTCGGGTTTATATGATCCGTTCATCCTATTTCGACTCTTCAAAATTCAAGCGTCTATCCTAAATTGAGGTAAATTTTATGGCCTTCCAAATACCGTTTCGATTCCTAACATCACTGAAGAGACATTAATTGTTGAAATCCGGATATGGTGTACTAATTTTTGCACCTTTTGTTTGCGGTATACCATCTTTTCCGCAAGTTTATTGTTTTCTGTTTGGTATTAAATTAATAGTTAAGATCCATTTTGTTACATCTTTGTGATCCGTTTATTTGGCAATCGCCAATGGCAGTCAGCAGGGTTTAAGAACATCCGTTGTACGACCTGCTAGTCAAATGCGTTTTGTTTAAATATACTTTTTCACTTTTTTGGTCTTTTGGAAAATGTTGTTATGTGCTGTATTTAGACCCCTCTACCAAGAAATTTGTTTTGCATGCACACGTATAAAAATTGCGGTTTTTATCCAACGCAATCATAGGTTTGAACGTTGTTTTCAATTTAGATTTGTATATATATATATATATATAACGTAACCAATCATATGACACCGGAATTGACATGCTGTAAACAGGTAGTAACTAATTATCTACCTTATTTCAATCAAAAATGCATAGAAGCCAATATTTTGGAAAGAAACTAATTACCAAAGTCAAGGGATGTTAGAAATGGAATCTATATTCTTCGACTGTTCATGCTATAGTCTGGAAAGTCCGGGCAACTCTTCTATCATATTTTCTCTGAGATTGTTTCAATCTGTGGAGACTGAACTTAAATTTTTTTTAACCACCTGCTGTTTATACTGACTGTAAAGAAAGATTCATGGCTGTTAAGAGGAAAAATATTTAGTAAAACGGACTTTCTATGTGTCAGATGTGTAGTTTCATAAGCATTTATCTCTTTAAGAAAGAACCAATTATATATCTTTGTGAATACTCAAAATGTATTTGTTTTTTTGGCAAGTGGTGAAATCAAAATGTTTAAAAGTGCGATGGTTATCTGTTACACAGTAGATCTATATTATTTTTATTTCACAAAATAAACTTATTAGAGTTGATTGATTTTTTCAAATAAAAGATATAATAAATTACTGTTTTTTTTTTTTTTCACTGAATGATATCTAATTTTCAAAATTCTCATGGACTTATTGGAATTAATTATTTCCCCCAAAAAACAGAAGAATCCTGTGGGGTATTGGACAGTGGAAAATGTATCCAACAACTTAAAAAGAAAAGAACAACGTTAAGCTGCATACAAATAAATTAATGTGCTGCCTTTTTAGCTCACCTGGCCAAGAAGGGCCAAGTGAGCTTTTCTCATTACTTGGCGTCCGTCGTCCGTTGTCGTCGTCGTCCGTCGTCCGTTAACTTTTACAAAAATCTTCTCCTCTGAAACTACTGGGCCAAATTAAACCAAACATGGCCACACTCATTGATGGGGTATTTAGTTTAAAAAATGTGTCCGACGACCCCGCCTGCCAACCAACATGGCCGCCAAGGCTAAAAATACAACATAGGGGTAAAATGCAGTTTTTGGCTTATAACTCTGAAACTAAAGCATTTAGGGTAAATCTGACATAGATAAAAATGTTCATCAGATTTAGATCTATCTGCCTTGAAATTTTCAGACGAATCAGACAATCCGTTGTTGGGTTGCTGACCCTGAATTAGCAATTTTAAGGAAATTTTGCAGTTTTTGGTTATTATCTTGAATATTATTATAGATAGAGATAAACTGTAAGCAGCAATGATGTTTTGCAAAGTAAAATCTACAAATAAGTGTATATAACCAAAATTGTCAATTGACCCCTTAAGGAGTTAATGCTCTTTATCGTCAATTTTGAACAATTTTTCATAAATTTTTGTAATCTTTTACAAAAATCTTCTCCTCTGAAACTACTGAGACAACTTTAACCTAACTTGGCCACACTCATCATTAGGATATTTAGTTTAAAAAATGTTTCCGATGACCCCGCTTGCCAATCAATATGGCCGTCATGGCTAAAAATACAACATATGGGTAAAATGCAGTTTTTGGCTTATATCTCTGAATTGGAAATTTTAAGGAAATTTTTTTCAGTTTTTGGTTATTATCTTAAATATTATTAGAGATATATATTAACTGTAAACAGTAATAATGTTCAGCAAAGTACGATCTATAAAAAAGTCAAATGACCAAAATTGTCAATTGACCCCTTTAAGAGTTATTGCCCTTTATAGTCAATTTTTTTTTCACAATTTTTCTTAAATTTTTGTAATCTTTTACAAAAATCTTCTTAAATTCACTTTATCTCCTAGGCCAAATAGAATAACACTTAGCCACAATTTTCAATAGGGTTTCTTGATTGAAAAATGTATCCGATGATCCTGCCATCCAAGCACTATGGGCGCCATGGCTAAAAAAAGAAGATTGGGGTTTTCTATAGAAGTCTATGGAATTGTAAAAAAACAATTTCAAATGGTCACAACTTGAAAACTAATTTAAATAATAAGGGGTTTTCAGTAACTATTGTAAGACTACAATGGAATGACCTGCTTTTAATTTTACTACTTGGCCAAATTAAACCAAATTGGTCTCAATCATTATTGGGGTATCTAATACTATTCATTATGATTTTAACCTTATTTTACATGATTTCCAAAACCACAGTAGATACAGGTGAGCTAGTTTTTATATTAAATTATTTTAAAAAAATTTAATAACCTAAATGTTATGTTTATAGATCTCAAATGTCCTGTAAAAAAGCGCAAATGTCCTGTAGAGAAAGCGCAAATGTCCTTCTTTTAAAAGCGCAAATTGTTACTTAAATTATCATATGACACTGAAGGTGACATTTTAAAACCCTTTTTCGAATGAACCTCACTATTTTTCTTCTATTTTCTATAAAAAAAAAATCATGTCTGTTTTCAAATTCATTTGAACTTTTATTATCAAACGTAAAGCTAGTGTTAATGTGTAGGTGGAAATACCTTCAATTGTTCTCTGAACAGTTTTTTTTTATTGTTATGTTCTATAATGAAGGCATAAGCACAAAATGGTATAATCTTATATGGGATACAATTCTATTCCTTGAATTTAGAAATCCAAATGTATAATTTACAATCTATCATGTCATGCATCATACCAACGTTAACAAGAAATAAAGTCTGTAATTATTTATCAATAAATATTGGTATTCATTTTTTTTTTATTTTGATCAAAGCTTTGAATGAAAACAGTTACTGCAAGATCAAACTAGATTGATATAAGTATTTAGATATGAACACCGGTCTTACCCACACAATGTTTTATAAAGAGATGTTAATTTAGGTATATGTGTTTGGCCTTGGCCGTGTATCATAATTAATTTTGTAAAAACGTAAAATATTTAATGATCTTTTATGTCGAATGTGCAAATTTAAGCATTTTTATCATTAGCACGACCCTCTCCATCTATCCTTTCATTTGACAGCTTCGTTATCCACTCCATTTATCATAAAACCTCAACAATTACTTTTGTTTTTGGTTGAAACAAATACTGGTTTTTGCAAATTAAGGGCCAAGTAAAATCTCTTATCATAATTCTCCTTTGTTTTCAGATAGGTTTTATGTCTTCCTTCATTTTTGGTTCTGTAACATTGTCTTCCGTATAAGTGCTTTGCGTAGAAGGTAAAATCAGTTGTTTAATACCCCTGTGGAGTCATGTAAAGGTGGTAATAAAACGTTTTAACCCCCTGATGTAATACTTAGCGAATATTGTAATAGTTTAATACAATAACGACATCATATTTTGTGGGTTAAAAATGTACAATAGGAAAGGGTAGAAGATACCAACTTGAAGGCAGGATAAATTACAACGAAATACACAAACTGAAAAACACATCCTCATAAACAACCAAAAGAACACAATCATGCTGGTGCAACTGTATCAATTACTGATAAAGCATTTGTATTGTTGTCCTACGAAATTGCATTCATCAAAGTTTTTACGTAAAATATAATAATCGAATTATATTACATGTACTATTTATAGTTCCAATTACATTGATAAATTTTGATTTTTTTTATTTTATCAATAAGTTTATGACATAATTTATGAAGATATTATGGTCTTTAGATTGACCACTGCAGTAATTGAAATAATGACTGAAAATACAAGAAAGCTTAGCGAAGCTTGTGAAATGCCAGATAGCTCCATACAGTTTGAAGAACCTCCAAACCTACAGGTTTTACCTGGTATTCAGAATGCATATCAGACATTTTCTCAGTGCATGAATGGAATCAAAAGAAATTTGAGGGAGTGGAACACGTAAGTTGTAAGAATTTGTGTTAAAATTCGTAAAACAAATCTTGTTTAATACTTAATATGTACAGGTGCTGATAACCCCGTACTGTTCAATATACTATGATCTACTATTAAATATTCATTGTATACGATTGTATGTAACTATAAGATCAGTCTATACAAATTTAAAAAAAAACCAAAAATACTGAACTCCAATGAAAATTCAAAACGGAAAGTCCCTCAACAAATGACAAAATCAAAAGCTCAAACACATCGAACAAAAGGTAAAAAACTGTCATATTCCTGACTTTGTACAGGCATTTCCTTATGTAGAAAATGGTGGATTAAACCTGGTTTCATAGCTAGCTAAACCTTTCACTTGTATGACAGTCGCATAAAATTCTATTATATTGACAACAATGTATGAGCAAAACAAACAGTCATAATAGGTAAAAATGTCAAAAATTGGGTTACATCTGTCAACATTGTGTTATAATCTTTTAAAATTACTATAAAAACAAACATCTATGTCAAAAAGAAAAACAAAATGACATGTAGACACTCTATAAACAAAGCACATAAGCAAAAATGGAAGACAAGAATACAAAAAATGACCATAACACAATAACGGGATGTACAAATACCGTGCCACGCCAAAAGGATATTACCAAAAATGGACTAAACAGTAAGGGTTAAAAACATACAAATTTGTATTTTTTATTAACTCCATGAAAACTATAATAATTCTTTATCTTTTCGTCAAAACAATTTAGTTCTAGATTTATCAAATATGGGTTTCCAAAATAAAGTAGTTTCTTTTTTCGTTAAAACCCAAGTAACTTAGATTTAAAGCAAATAAGCTGTTGATTTGCGCACATTTCTGAAACTAGAGGCTCTCAAGAGCCTATGTCGCTCACCTGCATCTACTGTGGTTTTGGAAATCATGTAAAATAAGGTTAAAATCATATAGATACCCTAATAATGATTGAGGCCAAGTTTGGTTTAATTATGCCCAGTAGTTAAATTAAAAGCAGAAGATTTTTGAAAAGATTTACAAAAATTAACAATAAATTGCAGAAAATAACTTTCAAGGACAATAACTCCAATAAGATGTCAATTGCCAATTGGTCATGTTAACTTATTTGTAGATCTTTCTTTGCTTGATATATTTGCTGTATATCTCAATCTATAATGATAATAAAGATAATTAATAAAAAATTAAAAAAATTCTTTCCTCCGCTCCAAAATTGATTTCACCCAGTGCCTGTATAATGCTGAAAATGCCTTTAAATGTTTTTATGGAACACCCTTCAAAAAAAATTTGGGCAAGAGGTTCCCCTGACCCCGACTAACACGCCGGGTCTGGGGGGGCATTCACCCAAAATAAGTATGCTGAAAGAAAAGATATAATAATGGTTTATAGAAAAAGTAACACTGAATAATTCTGAAAATGGAAAAAGGAGAAATTATTAGCACTCCCCCCTGAAAAAATTGCACCCCCTGGAAAAAAATCAAGTCATCCCATTGTAGTCTTACAATAGTTACTGAAGACCCCTTCTCATTATTTAAATTAGTTTTCAAGTTTTGACCATTTGAAATTGTTTTTTTTTTACATTTTTACCATAGACTTCTATAGATTAGTAAACCCCTATGTTCTATTTTTACCAATGGGGACCATGTTGGTTGTAGGGCATGGTCATCGGATACATTTTTCAATCAAGATACTCTAATAATAATTGTGGCTAAGTTTAATTCCATTTGGCCAAGTAGATTAAGAGGAGAAAAGTTTTGTAAAAGCTTAAAAATGGATCTGATAATGCCATGTACAGTTAATATTATACCAATCAGAGTAGTCATGTGTGAATAACTTACAACAAGTTCTTTGCAGCCCATTGAGAACTAAATCCTCAAATATTCTTATATTTGTAATTTTAGCAAAACCTAGCAAATATTTTCAAACACCGTTTAACGTTACACGTCGGAATATCAAAACAATTTCGACTGTTAACTGGTTGATGCTGTTAACCTTTACAATATGTTTGAAATACACATCTTGTGTCCATGTTTCGCATTCAATGATCTGACAACGCTCTGCGCAACTTGCTGTTCTGGTAATCCAGCATTACATTAACAAATGAATGTCCGCTTCCAAATCTTTTAAGGAAATACATACGGTACAAACTCTTGACTGTATACAGACCTGCAGTGCGAATGTGTCTTGTATTATTTGATGCAGTCATTGTTACAAAAAAGTGAGTGCATACGTATGCAGACCTGCAATACGAATGTGTCTACTTTTTTATGCTGTCAAGGGAATTTCGCTTAGGAAATTTCTATTTCAAATTAAAACTTATTTCAAGTAGTCTCTGTTTATGAAGTATAGATTTTTTAATTAATGTTATCAGCTACATGTACCAATAAAGTCATTTTTTACCATATGATAAAAAAATTTGGACTCTGCAGCAATCATTAATACGATGTATACATATGTTACAGTGAATTTGTAAAATCAAGAATTTTGTAAATTCCCTTAAATAATTAGTCACTTTACAAAATCACTTACAATTTCAGTAATTTTGTAAAATGCCTTTATTTGTTAGAATTTTATAAAATCACTGAGTATATTGCTAATGATTTTGTAAAATCCTCAATTACAAATGTATAGTTAAAATTATTTTTAAAAATGTTTTTATTTGATAGAAATTATCGATTAAAACTATTTTACAGTAACTTTGAATAAAGCATATAGGTACAAATTTAGGACTTCAATTTACTTATCTTTGCACAATCAGTAAGGGTGATATCTGCTGTTACATAATTGCCCTGCTTATTGACATGTACACATATTTTGTTCACATCTATTCATTCCAGAACACCCAAATTAAAAAAAAAATTGTCCATTACAAATGTAAGACAGTTTCAATTGCTTGCTGAAGATATGACATTTTCCACAGCTACAGCTGATGGCCTCAAAACATGGAATCAGTGGATTCAAACTGGTTTCTAGTGTATGACGCTAACAAAATACCATATTTGGTAGCAAGACGATAACCTTTCTCTGAGTTGTCATGGAAATTGCCATATGATTATATTTTTGGGCCACCCTTTCTACGATCATCAACTGGGATAGCAATACTACATTGCATTCAATCTCTACTTCTTCTAAAACTCTATTTTGACCGACTTAAGGATGTACTTAGGTCAGGTTTAGGAATGTTTGTCAGATGTTCGGACTCCTTGGTTTTTCCCTACAATACAGGGTAAAATATTTTGCCCCATAACACCCATTTTTCTTTTCATATAAAACTTCAATAGCTCATAAAAGGTCATTTACCAAAATTTAAGCATATTGTATATTTCTTTTCTTTCGATTTGAGATCCAAATAATACCAATGCAAATATAAGGTACAACCGATTGTCCACATAAAGCATGTACAGAGTTCTACAAGTAAAACATGCAGTTGCATTCAATGCAGCTCTTTGACATACAACACAGTTTTGAGTTTAGTAGTTTGGGCTCAGAATCGAGTGTCCATTTGTTGAACTTGTTTGCCTCAACAGTGTTTATATTGAGCTACATTGAAATCAATAACTTGCTTAGCATAGACTTACTTTCGGGCGCGGGGTGTACTAGTACAGGTGACAACCTTTTTTTATATCTATGGCAATCTTTGTTTGAATGATTGGTTCATTGTTCTTTGCTTAACTTCCAGCTGTAAATATTACATTCATATTCAGGATGAGATCGACCATAGCGGTTCATTAAAATATGCCTAATAATTTTCTGAATAGATAAGTTGTAAATATTTTGAACCATATATCGATATCTAATATTTGGTTAAGGACCCTACTCGAAAGGAAAATAATATCTATGGAAACATTTCATTCCAAGCTAGTATCCACATTTATACATTCTGGTAAGTTACTCTTTGTTCCAAAAGCCGTTAAAAGTCCGTCATCTGAAACAAAGAAGAGAATTCAAAGGAACTATGTGATAGTTATTCAATTAATGGTGTACCTTATGTAATTTGTTTTGTTGCTGCATTGATTTTTTGCGTTCTCTTAGTCGGACCTGACTGAGTTAAAAGGTGCAACCTTTTATTTGTTTACTGCCTATGATTATATTCTACACGTGTATAATTACAGAATGAAACAGGAGTCCTTAGAAAAAAAAGCTGTACAATCACACAGGGACATGCGAGAACACAGTCAGGTATCGCAAGAAAGGTAAATATAAAATTATTATCAAAGGATTGAATTATTTTGTTTCGTGCAACATAAAACAACATGAACTATTTATGCGGTAGATTTTACATTAAAAAGCGAGATAATCGTTTAGATCCGCAAAACACACCAAATGATTTAAACAACCATTTATATATAATAAATATTTATAATATAGACAACCACTAACGAGAATTTGAGCTGGAACTGGCACGTGAAGGAGAAGCGGATAAACCTAAGAGATATTTAAACTCATATGTCGAATAAAAAATGACAACAAACGAAAACGACGAAAAGACAAACAACTTATAGTCTACATAACACAACATAGGAAACTATCGATTGAGGATCACGAACCCCATAAAAAACCGGGTGTGATTTCAAGTGCTCCGAAGGTGTAATCAGATCCTGCTCCACTAGTATCACATGTAAATGAAATTTCTGTGATACATCTCATTCAATGATGTTGCATTCGCAAAAAAACGTACAGGATTGTGGTATCGACAATTAGAACATACAGGTATCAATCGTCATCTGTGATACAGATATTCCATAACGGTGAACCAACTCGTGATGGCGTCCGTAAAAAAATCGACGAGATAACTTCAACTTTACCACTTGGAACCTTTGGTTTAATAATTTGAACCCTCTATCAAGAAAAGCAGGATAGAAAACACAAGCTATGTTACAAATAAACACATCCGACCCAGGGGCGGATTCAGGCGGGGGCGTGGCGGGCATGCGCCCCCCCTAAAATTTGCAAAGCATGGGTTGTCCTCAGCTTAATAAAGAATATTTCGATAATTTTACTTCAAAACTTTTTTCGACTCGCTCCGCTCGGCGAAAGTTTAAGTTTGCGCCCCCCTAACCAAATATAATATAAAAGATATCTCATATAATATAAAAGATATCTCATATAATATAAAAGATATTTCATATAATATATAAGATATCTTATATAATCAATTTTTTATAAGATATCTTATAAACTTTATAAGATATCTTATATATTTTATAGAATATCTCATATACTTTATAAGATATCTTCTAACGTTTATAAGATATCTTATAAAGTATATAAGATATCTGATAAAGTTTATTAGATATCTTATTAATATTTTTTATATAAGATATTTTATATAGTTTATAAAATATCTTATCCCCGGCTTAGTATATTTCTAGGAGTTTGATTGGTTAACGCACGTCGTTACAAAACCCATAGCCCCTGGGTGTTGGTAAATTTGAATTGTTTACCTCTGTTTCTATGGGCTTTAAAAGTTTAATGTGCATAATTTAGGATTTTATGCATGTTATATATGTGTTTTTACTTAAACTATGGTATATAACTTAGAGATATTTGTAACCCCTTAAATTATAGACACATTTTCACAAAACATTCGATTGGAGTAGGTGCAATTACATGTGGATCTTTTTTGTGCATAAGCATAAATTCTGCCGAAAAAAATTCCGAAGAAAGATAATAGATTGATCTTTTTAAAGCATTAATTTGCATCTCTGCCCCGGCGACAGTTGTTTGGGAAAAAATCCTCAAAATGGGCAATAACTTCATCGAAAAGAGAAAGTCGAGTACACCTTTTTATGTTCAGGCGTGTTTGGGTTGACTATTTTGTCTTGAAAACGTATAAAAGAAAAAGTATTTGATACATCATCTCGATTCTGATTCTACTATTTTTATACATTGAGGGTATAAGTTGAAGTAATAACATTAAAAACTTACGGTACTAAGAAATGAAATATATGGGTCAAGTGAAATATCTTTCTAATGAGTCATAACAACAGAGTAGGTGTGTTTTCGAATTACAAATTTTTACTAAGTGTACTTGAAGACAGACTTTACAAGTGGATCTTTAAAATGCATAACTTCAAAAAAAACTTTTTTTGGTGTGTGTTATCTAGGGTAATTAGTCCTCAATCTTTGAAAATTTTCAGTCTGCCCTTCCACGAAATATTTAATTAGATTTTTTTTAAATATTTTAGAAACTTTCGAAAATTCCCACTGACAACCGATCAGACAATAGTTTTAAGTTGACCAAATATATAAAAGTACATTAAATGGTGCTCAATAGAAAGTATATAGATTTGTCTTTTAAGATACAACTGGCATATAAGGATCGTAATGATGCTAGGTGGATGAATTTATCGGTTTTCAAGAACTAAATTGGACAGAGCGTCATCACTACAGTGGCTTCAATTTTTACGATTATAAAAATTGGGTGGTGTAATGGGGAGATAATTTTGGCGAAGAAGAATCCTGACTGCTCAATAAGTTGTATATTGGCGTGTTTACTTTGCTTTATTGTTTCATCTTGTATGTTATATTATGAATTACACAGTTTGCTAGTGACCTAATATATATACTTGGTCAGTAAATTCCATATGAGGGTTAGAGGGAAGTATTAAGTCAGTAATTTTGTTGTTGTTGGGTGAGAGCTAAGGTCGAACCCCATATGGAATTTACTGATCCCGTATATATCGTATTCGGTCGCTAGCACTGTGTGTAAAATGTATCTTACCGACTATCGTTAAATATGGAATTTAGACTATCGGCCTATTAAAGTGATCAAGTCTTCAATGTTAAGAACCTACTTCCATTGGTATATACAAAAACAAATGACAACAGTAAGAATTTGTTAGCTTTCGTGTGTTTTCTGCATTTATTTTCAATCGTGTATCACTAATTTCTTCATCTGTTGTCTGAGCGAAACGTTTCAGATTTTCCTTCAAAGCCATATTGTTTTTATAAAGGGACGTAATACTGCTACTAGCCGTATATTAAGATGAAACACGCCCACTGACCAAATATTAAATATACACAGTCTCCACTTGTTCGATTTTAACCAATGAGAAGTGTTTAGGAGGTACTGAGATAATGGACCATACATCGGTTGGGTTTGGATACATTTGTAATTTGTCAATTGTATAAGAGCTCAGTACTATATTGCGTTGTGAAAAATCAAAAGGGCTGTAGCTAGATTGGAATTATGATTAAATATGTTCACACATTCAGGGATTTTGTAAATAAGTTTCTAGATTTCCATTACTATATTTTTTATAATTTCTGTAAAGACGAGTTGAACTTTGTTACAAATACACTCATCTGAGCTCATCCATGAGCGTACATGTTAGGTCCAGTGTTTTCCGTGTTTGGGGGAAATCCTTAAGTCCGGTTTTTCATTGGTTGACTCAATACGTTGTACTTGTTATAGTTAGTCTGCTATCTAAGCCAGACAATGATCTAACACAAACAAACAATTTAGAAAAGTTTGGCTAGCAATTATTATACTTCAATCTTACAAAATAAAATAAAAAAACAACATCCAGGACATTTTCCAACAATAAAAGAGTTATCCTCAAGTATGCACTTAAACAAAATGTAGAAATGAAGTTTCCTTCTTAGCAACCCCCTTCCAATAAAGATATATGGTTTCTCCCCAATCTCATCGGTTACTCTTCGGAAAAGCATTGCATGCATTAAATATAACTTAAAAACGATAAAGTACATAGACTTTAGTAAATTTTCACAGAATTACAATGCCTAAAAAAATAATGGAAAAAGAAATGTTGCAGTCTTGTTGAAACTAAAACCTATCGAATATATATTGATCCCAACATAACAGACAAAAATTGAACATCAAACGTGTTAGTTCAGCCGGAAAATTAGCCTTTACCAATAATAATATTTATATATAATTTAACTACTAGACTAAGTATCAATACAGACTTGAAAAACAATTCCTTAAGTTATTTGCTTCATACATGTAACAATATTCATGTTCAAATCTAGTTGTTTGTAGATATAATCATAATCCAACAATCAATCACTTTATTTGTTATAAGTTTTATTTGTGAAATTGTTAACATTTTGTAATTTAAAAAATATATATGACGTTATTTTAATATGAAACTTTTATGCAAACTCGCGCATATTTAACCTGTACTAATAAAAGCTGTACTTTCCTTATGTCAATGTTTTTGTTTGCATAAATGATGCAGATGTGAAACAATTTTTCGCGATATTTGCATTATTAAACACAGTCGGGAATCCCTACTTGGAAAAAAGTAAAATAACAAAAATACAGAACTCCAAGGAAAATTAAAAACGGAAAGTCCTTTTTAAGAAGATACCATGTTTAAAACAAAAGGGAGTTCACTTCAATAGATATAAACAATTCAACAAAGATTCATGCGAATTGTTTAAAGCGTTTTTGAGTTATTGTCCAACATGTTGATGACTGACGGATGGACAGAAGGACAACTGTATACCATAATACCTACCGTAAACGGGCGTATAAAAAAATAAAGAAAAGAACATTGAAATAGAGAATATAGAATAATGGAGTGTTGTATTGAGTGATTGAAAAATAATTGGGAAAAATATGAAGAATATAGAAAAAATGACCTAAAATTTTGAACAATACAGAAATGACATTGAATGAAAGACCCCAAAACCCTATCCAGACTTTTGTATAAAATAAGGAGATGTGGTATGATTACCAATAGAAACAACTACCAGTAGCTGACAGAATCCAAATGACTAGGGTGTAAGCAACTATAGGTCACCATACAACCTTCAAAAATGAGCAAAACCCATACTGTAGTCAGTTATAATTGGCTAAAAAGATGACCAAATGTGTGTCCATGCAAACAAAAAACAGAAATGCCCTAATTTAAGACAACACAATAAATGAAAATCAAATTTATAGGCTCCTGACTTAGAGTAGGCATTTATAGAATATGGTGGGATTAGTGAATTTACACATGATTGTTATTGTGCATGTTTAAATTAATTTACCTTAATTGATACTTTGTTACCTTCAGCTGTATATTACAAATGTATTATACATGTACCATTTAACATCAAAGTCAAGATCATATAAACTATACCACAAAATCATTAAACCAGACCAAAATTCTAATTATAACTTGATCTGTAACTTGACATGATATAACTACATACCAATCAAAGGGCCCCCTTTAAGTGA